AGGAGGAGAAATGGCCTTTAAGGAAAGACTAGCTAACTTTGCGATAGGGAAATGGAGCCATTTGACAATATTTTGGACTATTGTCGAAAATTACATCGGAATGATGCCGATATGCTACAATTAATGGGAGTTGTACTAGCCATACCTGCAACACAAGTTTCTGTTTAAAGAGCGCCCAGTGCACTTTCAACAATATTAACTAAACTTCGAACGAAACTTTCAAAGAAATCCTTGTCAAATTTATTAATTACAAAATTACATTTTTAGCTCCTAAATTTTTCAACGCCAGATGTTGAAGGTAGCAACCAAGCAAAACTATTTGGTTTTTATCAGTTTTTATTACCATACTGTGTATACTCATATACAAATTTAAGTGCAGTATTAAATAAATATACGTACTTATGTGCATAGAATATGAATTATCTTAAGAGTTTTAATTTAATAAATATAAGTGCGGAAATAAACATTGCTTTAATATGAAATTTCAAAAAATATTCAAAAAACTTAAACCATATTTAACATATAGGCTAGCCTAGCCTAGCCTTTTCATTTGGCACCTAATTTTTTTAATCCAACAAACGGTCCAGATTTTAAAATCTATAAAAATTAGGTAACCCTGTTCTAAAAAAGATCCCTTCTGGCACATCTTTAGATTCCTCTTAGATAGCCTCTTCGGTTCACATCTCACTATTGAAAATCGGGTGAACAGTGTAAATATTACAATATTTTAGACAGGTGGAAACCCTATTCAAAAAAATAAAAACTTATTTCATATCTTGAGACCAAGCCCCTTCGTTTGACACCTCATTTTTGAAAATCAAGCCAAGGATGTAAATATTATACTATTGTAAACAGGCGGAAACTCTAATAAAAAAATACATCCTTATTGTACGTCTTCAGGTCCAGCCCTTTATTTTGACGCCTTATTTTTATTAATCCAACGAACTTTACAAAAAAAATAAAAACTTATTTAATATCTTGAGGCCAAGGCCTTTCGTTTGACACCTCATTTTTGAAAATCATGCGAAGGATGTAAATATTATACTTTTGTAGACAGGCGGAAACTCTATTCAAAAAATAAGTCCTTATTGTACGTCTTCAGGCCCAGCCCTTTAACTTGACGCCTTATTTTTTTTAATCCAACGAACCGTACAAATAAATAAAAACTAGTTTAATATGTGGAGTCCAACGGCTTTCATTTGTCATCTCATTTTTGAAAATCATGCAAAGGATGTAAGTATTATAATTTTTTAGGCAGGCGGCAACTCTATTCAAAAAATAAATTGTGCGTATTCAGGCCCAGCCCTTTCATTTGACACCTTATTTTTTTAATCCAACGAACCGTGCAGATTTTATAATTTTTAAAAAGGTAGCAATCCTATTAAAAAAATAAAAACTTCTTTCATATCTAGAGGCCAAGCCTTTTCATTTGACACCTCTTTTGAAAATCGAATGAACAGTGTAAGTCTTATGCAATTAACAAAATTGCCTTCGCATAGAATAGTATCTCTAGCCACACCAACTTTCCGCGTCTGACGCAGCATTTACATTCACTTATGAATGAGAACGAAAAATAGTAGGGATGCTCAAATTTCATCGATATTCGATATTATCGATGATAAGACGTAAAATATCGATGTTTTATAATCGATTGCGGACTATGCACAACATCGGTACATCGATACCTTGCACACATAATCAATGCGTCGATGAATCGAAATTTTCTCTAGTCATACATATGTATCCACCTAAGCGTGCATTTAAAGAAAATTTTCTTATTTGTGGTCCTGCAAGCATAAAGGGTTTGTATTATGTTGCATTTTAGTATTGTCGGAAATATTTTACCCTTTCGTCAAAGGTGTAGAAAGAGATTAATATAAAAAATCTTATTTTCAGGGGAGTAGCTTTTGCAATGGCACCAAAGAGCCGTTTTTGGCAGTTTTTTGGCAAGGCAAGCGGCAGCGAAGCAAGATGCCGATTTTGCTTCAAAATTATCAAAACTTGCGGAAATACCACAAATTTGAAAACCCACATCGAAAAGCTGCATAACTCATTGCTTAATAGCAATACAACTGGGGAAGAGAATGCAGTTGCATCTTCATCAGATATTGGGATATCGAAACAATCCATTGCGCAAACTTCGTCTAGCTGTACTCCATTATTATCTCCTGACTCATCCTTGGAAGCTATACCTATTGCTTCTGGTCACAGTTTAGCTGCCAGAGATTCATGTAAATCATCTGTTCTGGCGAAATCATATCAACCAAGTTGAATGAAAGCTGATCACGATGAGAATGGTGGCAACCTCATCACCTTCTAAAGAAGCTGAATTCATCCACACACAGTAACACCGAATTATGTATTATAAATCACCTTAATTTGTATATGGCGCCCGAGCGAAATAAAGCGAACCAAATAAATTTAACAAAAAAAAGTACATTGTACATGATTCTATTTCGTGGACGTCGGCGGTCAAATATGAACAATTTCGAGTGAGTTAGAAATAACTATTTGATAGGGAGAAACCTTAAGACATTTTAAAGTGAAAACCCTAAAACTAAAAAGTCTAAATTGTGAATATGAACACAAAAACCACGATCTAACGTGTGTGTATATAATATCGGAAACAAACAATTTAAATCTGAAAAAACTTTAAAACCTTAAAACTATCAAATAACAAAGTCGTAATTCTAACCTAATCAAAAAAAATTGGCGCTTTGCAAAAAAAAAAAAAAAAAAAAAAAAAATTTAGAAGGAGGAACCTATCAAACCCGTCCCCACAGCAGGAGCAACAAAGCCATTGGTTGTGTATCCAGTTTTCACCCGGTTGAAACCTCCCATTATAGCCCAAAAATTAAACGGTGATTTTAATAAATATAATAAAAGGTCGCAGTAAGTAAAGGAACATTTTACTTCAAAATATTTGCAATAAAAAACTTAAGTACTGACATCCCTACGACACACACTCGTACATATGTAAAACAACTTTCATGCGAAAAACCGACCGTCTTAAATTCTTGTGCAAATTCATATTTACATATATAAAGGAACGGTTGCAAAAAAAAATCGCAGCAATTTTTACATATTATATACTTTTCCACAATTTCCCGCCTTTTTTATATACCCCGGCACTCGTACACCTACGAAACATACATAAAGTTGCCTGTACAGTAATACATATGTATATACTATATACTGTGTATGTATGTACACATATTAATAATTTACGCGCCAAAAATAATACATAGTATCATACGTATATACAAATTGGGGACAAAACAAAAAAAAAAACAATTTGTATGTAAATACATACATATATGCATAGTTGAGTGAAAAACATATTGCATTTACCGCAACAACTGAAGCAAACATATGTATATCTGTGCATTTGTACAGGCTTTACACTTACGCTCATTCGACAAAATAAAAAACTCACGGCGCACATATGCATACATACATACAGTAGTAGGCACATTAGGGCCGCCCTCACAAATCCGAAAGTGGACTTTATTTTAAATTTAAAAATATCGTTTCGTGAAAACTTTAGAAGCAAATTGAAGTACAAAGAATATAATATTAATAGTTCATCACAACTCCAAAAGTAAATGTACAGTCGATTAAGCACGGAGAGTTCGCATGATTGTCCATACATGCCCCATACTGCTTCTAAAATCACACCAGGTAGTTCACATTAAGGGTAGCATACTCGAATAATTTATTAAATAAGGCATCTATTTCAATTAAAAGGTAAACCATTTGGGAAATAATTAATAACAAGTAACTCTCAAAGTATAGCTCGAATAACAACTCAATTGAAGTTGATCAACCTTCTCACTAACTCCAAACTCGTTCAATCGAAAGTTTTTACAAACTCAAAACTCTAACGCAAGCGGAAAACTCACTCACTCAACCTCCTATTCTCATTCACTCGATAAAACCCACACATTAACAACAATGGAAGCACAAAAAGATGTTCTTGAAGTCGACCCCAAGCACCCCTCTGACGCCAAGAAGAGGGAAAGCTCTAAGTCAAGGGTAGACAAAGACTTTAAACGGTTTATCTTTGAAACAAATAGATTGGAGGTATTTTGCTCAAAATGGTCAGCCTCCATGCTTTCAGACCAAACCGAAGCACTTTTGAAGGTCAAAATTTCTCAGATCGATCAAAATTGGGAAATGGTATTAGATACTTACCAGTCTGTGTGCATTTCTGACTCTTATTCAAATCTAAGTGAGTCAATCGAACACAAATTCGATAAAGTCTGTGAAAGCTATCAAAATTGCAAAGCAGAGATGACTGAAGCGCTAGAAATCTCTAAACCCCAAAACTCAAGCTCAGACCCAAGCAACTCAACAGCTTGCAATAATAAAGGGGAATCATCTGGCATTTTTCTCCAAGTACCACCATGCGACACACAAGATTTTTACGGTGGATTCGAGGAATGGCCTGCCTTTAGGGATATGTTCACGGCAGTGTACATAAGGCACCCGAAACTCACTCCTGCCCAAAAGCTGTATCACTTAAGATATAAGACAAAAGGACAAGCAGGTGCGATTGTAAAACAGTACCCACTTAACTATGACAGCTTTGATATCGCATGGGAAGCCTTAAGATCGCGATATGAAAATCGCAGAATTTTGGTGGATAATCAACTAAAAACCCTTTTCAGTCTTCAACCACTTAATAGTGAAAATAGTGGATCTCTGCAAAAATTGCAAAATACTATCAACACCTGCCTCGCTATTTTATCCTCCCAAGACGTTTCAGTATCGAATTGGGACCCAATATTAGTGCATATATGCACCTCAAAACTTCCGGAAGAAACTCTAGCTCTTTGGGAACAATCTCTCTCATCGAGAAAAGATCTCCCACTTTGGTCCGAAATGGACAAATTCTTAACCACTCGATACGAAGTTTTGGAAAGATTGAATTCTAACAGACCGTCCAAGACAAAACCACCCCACAATTCTACTCAAAACTCAAGCCATAAACCCAGTTTTCAAAATTTTCAACCCAATTTTAACTCCACTAAGTCTCAAACCTTTAACCCAAACTCAACAAGAACTCGTGCCTATCATAACGAACAAAGATTCGCTAGTTTATGCAAACTATGTAAAGCATCCCCGGCGCACCCTCTCAAAATATGCCAAAAATTTAAAGCAATGCAAGTACAAGAACGGATAAATTTTGTACGAGAAAATAATTTCTGTAAGAATTGTCTGGCTTTTTCCCATACATCAAAAGAATGTGGAAGCAGCTTTACTTGCGTGTACTGCCAAAAGCCACATCACTCGATGTTACATATAAACTCTA